ATTAAAATGACTTATAGCCGAAGTATCATTTGATAAGCATCTGCATGTTTAGAATAATATTGAGGAAGAAATTGAACTATTCGAAAACCATATTTATCATATAATCTATATGCAGGTATATTTGATGTATTTACTTTAAGTTTAATAACAGAAGCACCAAATAGACAAGAATAATCTATCATGTAACGTAAAAGTGTTTCACCTAAACCATGACCACGTTGATTAGGATCAATACATAAATTTGCTATATGTGATACATGTTTGTATATATATTGAAAACAATATCCAAGTATTAAATTATCATTGTTAGTGCTTTCAAGTGTCCAACATTGCCAATGTGGATGATTAAGACAATCGAAAAACTCTTGAGAAGACCATGATTCATCAAGCCATGTGACTTGCTCGATTTTAACTACTGTTTTAATATCAGTTTCAAGCATTTTTCGAATTCGATATTGATTTTGTTTGTTAGAAGTCATTGCAAATGTTTGATATACATCATTGATATTTATTTCAGGAGGCATGTTACAAAACTATTCGAGTATCAAAGTGTCTCGTCTTTTGTGGTATTAAATTATGTTAGTGAATGAATCACTTCTACTTTCTTGTCTTTCTATTTCAATTGTAGAATGAAAAGAATGTTGCTGTTATTGCCTAGTCAAAATTGAAATTTTCATTTTGTCTAGGCAAAATAGGAATTTCAATCTTGACCAGACGAAATTGGAATTTCTTTTTTGATGAACAGAAAAAGGCAAAGAAAAACAGAAAATTAAAGTGGTAACAAATTTTTTATTTCACAGAATTTACTAACAAATATCATATGAGTAGAGGTGTAAGCCGATAGGCTGATCGGCGGCGGCGCCAGTTTTTTAAAATTTTTTCAAAAATGCTCGGCGGCGCAGATATGATATTCTAAGGTTGCACAGCGGCGGCGGCTCGAAAATTTTAAAATTTCGAATACCATCGGCGGCGCGGCGGCTGTAATTAAAGTGTCTCAGCGGCGGCGGCTTGAAGTTTAAAAAGTACTACATTATCATAAAAATATTAGTCTATGGCCTTGTCTACACTAGGAATATAATGTAGTATCAAATTCGTGTTACATCAATTCGTGTCTACATTTGACAGTTAATGCATCAATCAGAATCCTAGACGTCGAAATGAATCGTGGTTTTTGTTCACTTCAATCATAGAGGACTCGTCCATTGAAAATTGTGTCAGTCTCATTAGAAAATCGAATCAGACATTGATTGGTGCATCAAATTTAATGTTGTTCTGAAATGTGCAATAAATTTAATGCACTTTTTAAAAGTGTTTTAAATATTTACTAACTGTTCAACCAATCATGTTTCTTAATTCAGCGTCAAAATTTTTAGTGTAGACAAGACCTATTTCAATATCTTGGCCTTTTTATTTTCAAACACATATGTGGAAAAACTTTATTTCACATCTAGACATAATAAAAAAGTCTATAATTAAAAATAAATATAATTGTCAGGATAAATAATAAATGAGAAATCACCACCACGATTGTTAATAAGTAAAAGCACTTAGCATACTCAAGTTTGTTGTTTTTATTTTGTTTTTGTTAATTAAAATTTAAAATGCTCGACTCTTCTTGTATTTCCAAATATATCTAATATAAGAGACATAAACTAAAATGATAACTTAGAATTTTCAACCAACACAGAATTAAGGGTTCATTCACAATTTAGAACCCCAAGCATCTGATTGGTCAGAGAACCAGCATGAAAACGAAGGTGAAGGCGAGAAAGTTAATGAAAAAGAGATATATTGGGGTTCTAAGATGTAAAAGTATCGAATTAAGGAAAATATAAGTGAAATGTTATCGATATTTACAATAGTTGCCGGCGGCGGCGGCTCGATAATTTTAAAATTTCGAATACTATCGGCGGCGCGGCGGCTGTAATTAAAGTGCCCCAGCGGCGACGGCTTAAACATTTCTAAAATTTCTACTGTCATGGCGGCGGCGGCTTAAAATTTTTCGAGTTTATCGGCGGCGACGGCGGCTCAGCCGCACGGCTTACACCTCTACATATGAGGATGCGGGTATAGGTACAACAAGGACTTCGCGCTCATCTATATCCATAATCAAAACAAAATCATCACACACCAGACACAGCTCCTACTCAGACCCACACATCGATATTCACACTGAGATCCTTTAGACTAGGAGTGTAGCAAATCCTAAGTCTTGAGATTTGATATTATTTGGTTTGATTTGGAGATAGGATATGAGTTCTACTTGAGTTTGAGTTTGGATTTCGTTTCAAACGACCTACATCTCATAGGATCTGCTCAGATAAGGTAACATCAATAATAATGTAGTTTCCTCTACTGAAAGGAGGGTTATCGGCTTGTTCGCGTAACGCGACACTTAGCTGATCAAGTTTTGAAAAAAGTTTTTTCGAGTTGGACAGATCTCATTGGACTATTAGATGCAGTTTTTTACGCTGATTACGAATTTGATATTGATTTAGCATAAAAATCAGATTTTGATATCAAAAATCGGATTTTAAAGTTTTCAAAAACCGTATTTTGGATTTTTTAACCAAGAAATTTTTTCAACAAGGGCTAAGAGACATACTATTCGATGCAGAATTAAATTCTCTACAAAATGGTCTATTTAGTTTTGACTTTGGTAGCTTAGAATGGATTGAAAGCTTCGATAAAGTTTCCAACTTCCTGCCCAGTTTATAAGCTCTCAGATCGATGTATCAATCTCATTTTTGCAGAGGAGATTGTCTACTTATAAAACAGTAACAATTATAAAAATCAAGTAATTCCGCGTACACTAAGTGCCTCAAAATTGGTCAACAAAAAACTGTGTAACAGCGTTACGTTTGTTTTTTGCATTTTTTATTTGAACAAAAATGTTTTAGAGAAAATCTTTTTTACTGCCTGAAAGTCTATTCAATGCTCTACAAAAGTGATTCTTGGAGCATTACATTTGAAGAAATGATTTCGCAAGAAATTAGAGTTTTCTCAGTGGCACTGGAAAAAAAGGGTTTTTTTATGTAACAGCGTTACGCCATGATAAAACATTTCTAGATACCTGAGACTTCAATCAAAAAAGGTCATTTTTATATGATAAATGAAGTTCGATAAGCTGCGTCGAATGACGTTTGAACGAACTTCCTAGCTCTTAAACTTTTCGAGAAAGTTGGAGAAGAGTATATCAAAAACGTAACAGCGTTACGTTTGGACAAGCCGTTATACACCGAGCAAGGTTCGTATGTTCGTGACTTTGTTCGTTCGCACAGAGCGAAAAAATGTTTTTTTCACCTATAACATCATCGATCTTACAACAGATCTTCACCTCACCCTATCGATTAGTATAGAGTTCTTACCCCCCGACAAATCAGATGTCTGCATTCCACTCAATCAGATTTCAGGTGACAGATTTTCAGCCAATCATAAGTTTTCACCGTGTGGCTATGCATCAATGAGATTTCGAGAATGGCCATTTGCACCAATCATAGGTTTTCACAGTTTTGCCACGCACCAATGAGATTTCGAGAGTGGCCATTTGGACCAATGATAGGTTTTCATAGTTTGGCTATGCACCAATGAGATTTCAAGAGTGGCGATTTGAAGCAATCATAGGTTTTCACAGTTTGGCTATGCATCCATGAGATTTCGAGAGTGGCCATTTGGACCAATCAAAAGTTTTCACAGTTTGGCTATGCACCAATGAGATTTCGAGAGTGGCCATTTGGACCAATCAAAAGTTTTCACCGTGTGGCTATGCACTAATGAGATTTCGAGAGTGGTTATTTGGACCAATCATATGTTTTCGCAGGTTGGCTATGCACCAATTAGATTTCGAGAGTGGCCATTTGGGCCAATCAAAAGTTTTCACAGTTTGGCTATTCACCAATGAGATTTCGAGAGTGGCCATTTGAACTAATCATGGATTTTCTCGGTTTGGCCATGCACCAATGAGATTTCGAGAGTGACCAATTGGATAAAGGGTGTGGCTGTGGGTGTGGGTGTGGGTGTGGGGTGTGGGTGTGGGTGTGGGTGTGGGTGTGGGAGTGGGTATGGGTGTGGGTGTGGGTGTGGGTGTGTGGGTGTGGGGTGTGGGTGTGGGTGTGGGAGTGGGTATGGGTGTGGGTGTGGGTGTGGGTGTGTGGGTGTGGGGTGTGGGTGTGGGTGTGGGTGAGGATGAGACTGAGGGTGAGGGTGTGGGTGTGACGAGTGTGGGAGTGAGTTGAGTTTGGATGTGAGTCTGGGAGTGTGTGTGGGTGTGGGTGTTCGGTGCGTTTGGATGGGTTGGAATGTGGGTGTGTGTTTGGATTTGGAATTGAATGAAACATTCTTATGCATATCGACACCGACATCCACACTGGATCCTGCACCAATAGGCACCGTGTTTGTGTTTGAAACTGACAGTCTAGATTTGAGTATGGTTGGAATACCTGTCGGGGCAGTATTGTTGGGTATTTTCTGTGAGTTTTAGTGATGTGTGGCAGTTAATGCTACCGTACTAGTTGTTTATAAAAGTCTATTGAATGAAATGAGGATCGTTCGGTTGCCTTTAGTCCTCAATGCAGTTTGTGGTTTTGTTACGATGAGGTCACATGAAGGTGCACTTGTGAGTTTAGCGGAGATATTGGTAGCAAAATTTGGTTGACACTGCTATTCTTCTCTGAAATCGTTACTTAAAAAGTTTTCTTATATCCCGTGTGTCATATATAGCTTGTGTCGTAGTGGATAGCTGTCAAATGCTGCTTGGGATGCCGGTTGAATGCGCAAGCGCTAGTGACTTTCTATCAATACAGTTCGTTTGCATAGTTCAAATTCTTTTCATTCTCGTTTGTCTTTATGGCTTTTATTGGAAATAGCGTTTCGTACAAGTTTTACAAAATGATCTATGGGCGAGAACTGTAAAACGCACAAATTTCGAGCATGCAATGTATAGTTTTTTATGCGTTAGTTGGTTTTTCTGAACATCACGGCACTCTTCAGATGTTGTTGTTTTAAACAATGAATTGAAAACGTTTCCGAGTATTTTGTGCTATTCTATCTAATCGTTTAAGTTCTTCTATTTGGGCCGTTGATGGTTTAACTTGAAGTGTTGCAAATACAAATGGCCGTATAATAAGTATATCGTCAAGTCTCTTTACACGAGATAATGGAACATAAGCCGATGCAACTTCGAGTGGTCCAGGAGGCATGACCAGATCGACGATAATTTTACCGAGTGTTTGTCCTTGGTTTTTATGTGTTGTCATGCTATATGCGGGTATAAGCGGAAGTGCTTTATGTTTAACCGAGAGTATTGTTGTTTTCTTGTTTATTTTGGCCGCTTTCGCTATATTTTCTGGAAGAAGTTCCTTGGCATCAAACAAGAATGTTTGTTCACGAATGGCTTAGGAACTATTTTGGACTGCAATTCAGCAAGTTTGTCATCAAGTTTGCAACCAGGAAATTCTACCAAAGCATACTTTGGTTGAGTTATAAACTTGGTATTTGGTGGAAAATTCTTATCCTGGTATCGAATATCTTCTGGTGATTCATCGTATACAAATTGACGAAGGATTCCACGTGTACCATTGGAGAGTCCGATCTCATTAGCGACGTTTTCTGTGAGTAAAACTGGCATTTCTGGTACGAGAGGTAAATACCCTGGAAGATGTTCTGTTTTATTGTTAGGTAGTTCAAGTATTGCTTGACGTAACCGTATATCATCCACAGTTTTTCCTTGAATATAATCTTGAGCAATGCATACAATTGGGGTAAGTCTCATTTCCATTGTTTTGTTTAAGACAGCCCTATTGTTAATTTGAGTGCGTAGCGTATTCCGAAAAACCAGTATTGGAGCCTATTAAAAGAAAAGTAATGTGACACGCAGAGAAAATGAATGTGCACACTTCGTTCCATGGCTTTTGTTATAGAGACACTTGAAGTTTTGGATTTCCTATGACTCTCATACACAGAAGTTGGTAATCTTCTATTGTCGATTGTCCATGTCTTAATCTATTTAAAAGCTCCAAATATCTTATGTCTTCGGTTTGCATTTGCTGAGTTAATTCAACAACGCAGTTTATTTCAGTCATAAGCTTCTGTGTACACAACATATCTATCTGACGTTCTGTAACTTGCTGTGTCGGTGCGCAGCTATAGTAGAGAGGCTTGTCCAAAACAGGAAAATATTGAAGGTAGTCGCCGAAGAAAATGACATTGACACCACCAAAAGGTATCTCAGAATTTACGTGCTTCGCTGTTTTGACTATTCGATTTAGATGAGCTAAGAGACCTAAAGTCCCACCATGCTCATCTCATCGATTATCAGGTACTTCACATGACGCCATTCATTTTCTAATTTCATATCACCAAGTCTAAATGTACGGATTTGTTTCTTTTTACAGTTTTTGTGATTTTCACCTAAAAATGAATGGATAGCTAATCCATCAATCTCAACTGCTGCCATAGACGTTGACGCCAGTTTACGCAGCATCTTACCTCGTTTTATTAGTTGGAAATACTTGGTGAGTGCACGAATCAACTGAGATTTTCCAGTGCCACCACACCCAGGTATACACATCAATAACTGATTATCGATAGTACCTAAATATCAAGACTAACTAAACCTTACAACAACAAAATCGAGATAACATACCGGTATAAGTATAATGTTCGCCATCTAAGTGACTAGTAACAATTATAAAAGCATATTTTTGCTGTATATTTAGCGTAAATTGTTTGACGATATTCTGTTTTGTGGGAAATATAACCGCATTGATTGCAGTCACAGGTGAGATTCTCGTAACTTTCGTTTTAATTGGGCTTGTTGGAATTTCAGTACCTACGATTTCAATCTGTGTTTCATCATCTCGTACTTCCAGAGTATCTTGGCCTAAAATTAAATAGTTTCTTGTTTCATCTCGTCGGGCGTCAATATCACGTTTCCGTTCTTTAATCATGGTCGTATGATGCTCGCGAGCTACGACAAATGTGTGGACGTCGTGTATGGCACCATAATTATTTTCGCCCAGAGAACGTGTACGGGCTAAATCAAACAAAATATTTTCGGAATATGGCAGTAATTAACTCACCATTGAGTAATACAAATCTATCTGTATTCTGAATTGCTTGTAATGCATCATGAACATAGCGTTGTTCGTGAGTAACTGTCAATGCCGAGTAAGTATTTGTGATGATCTCATTTACGATGGAAAGCATTTGCAAAAGCTGTTCAAGATCGTTTTCTTCAGTATTTTGATCTTCTTCATAGGAGTTAGGGATCAGAATAGGATCAATGCTGCTATCATTTTGTGCTTCTAGAAGAACTTGATGAAGGTGCTCATCTCGATTGTGCTTACATTCGTGCAAAAGTTGTATATTTTCTATAATTTTGAGTGAACTAGAAGAGATCAATGGTTTTCGAACTTCCAGTGCCTCAGACCATGTCTGATTTAGTGCACAAAGATCGTAGACTGATCCCCATGGCACGAATAAAGTTAGCAATGCACGACAATAACGCTCATGTGTTTCTTCTCGTTCGCGATGGGGTATTGGAGAACCAAGCAGAACTGGTACCACTGGAGTGGTACGTTTAATGATGATATGTAATGATCATTGTGGGTGTACACTTTCAAATGTGTGTCGTTCGTTTATTTTTGTTCCTTTGGTATATAATCGTTCACCTTCGTGCCCATTTTCATTATTCAGTAAATGGCGATCTGATTTGTCAATAACCTTCTTGTGAAAATGACTGATAAAATCATATAGGCATAATGCCCTTAGATCTTTTGATCAATGGTAATAGTCCAGACGAGTGTTTATCATGACATAACCGTCATCGCTTTTGGTTTTTGTTAGCTCTAATAGAAACTGTTCTTCACTTTCTTTTGTATCCTCACCTTGTTCATCATAGAAGGACGTTAGGATCCCCAGAAAAATTGCATATTAAATATCTATGTAATCATTTTTAAAACTTTTTACTATCAACTTGCTGCTGCTCAATAGATTTGACTCCTTGCTACGTAAGGGCAAACATATCATAGAAGGCTAGAATCGACTCTGTTACATAATCAGTTATATAGTACCCTAAAGCTTTAGTGTCGTTACCATTCTAGATGAATTTAATATCCATTTTGGATCGCCAAGCATTTAAGAGTCATTCATTGAAGTTGTCGATCCACGGATGTGATCGATGCATAGTTATCTGACCTATAGAAGGGTCGCTGTTGGAAGTCTTCACGAGTACACGTGGCATACACAATCGACAAACTTTAGAACCATTGGACTTGCCTTTCGAGTATTTGTAACACATTGCAGAATGCTCGTGAATATTGCATGTTTCGACTAATCTCACTATATCTTTGCGAAAAATACGATGGAAGTCATCTAACACAGGATTTGACGTTGGTAGGCAGGTCGGTACAACTTCATTCGTTATCGGCCCAGTTTCTTCTAAAATCAAGACAAAAGCAAAATTAAGGATATATTAAAAGCTACAAACTGATGAATTAATGCACTGTTATCGCTTGCTGTACTGGTTCGATCGTCACTTTCATCTTTAAAAAGAATGATCAAATTTAAAAGTACAAATGATCTAATGCAGTTATTATGGTTACTAAGAATCTGCAATTCGAATTAAATGCATTTTGGATTATCGAGAATTAGTTGAAAGCTCAACTCTAGGTTAAAGCAACGATAACGTATTCTCAGGGTACGAAATTTCGTCAAATAGGCAAATGCGAATATTTCAAATCACAAATTCAAACGGTGCTAAATGTATTACCTCGAAATGGATCTAAATCTTCTTTTACAACATCTTCTAAATATTTTAGTAAATTTTCACGAAAATCTTCGTGTTGAACCTTTTCTTTTAATTGTGCTGGAGTAAACTCATGATTGAGCCAAATTTGAAGGTGTAAAGTGAAGCGAGTCTCTCCCTTGATTCTTGACAGTGCCGAAATATGCTTTTGTAGGACCAAGTACACTACCGAGCACAATACTTTTCAAGATGCTTTTTATTAAACAGTTAAAGAATTTTGCAGTAGCAACAGGATGTGTTGCGATAATTTGAGCATGTTCATAACTTGTGCCCAACACTTCTGGCAGAGCTTTGTCAAGATTCAGATCAACACCTGCAAAATAAAGTGCCACTGGACTATGTATGTCGGCTGGATTGATTAGTAGGAAGAGAGTTGTAAAATCGAGATTAAAACACAAAGAATAAATTTTCGTACGACAAGGCGACCGTGAATGAACTGAATCTATAACATGACCACCAACTACTTTGATATGCTTCATGAGCGTATTTATTCTTTCATTAGTAATTTTGGAATAAGACGCTTTTGAGATGTTGACAAGGGCCGTTGTTACATCTTCAGAACTCAATAATTCAAGAAGTTGTGCGGATTGCTGAAAGTACGGCTTTGATGTTATTAATTGGGCATGGAAGCACGCGATTCAGCGTTGTAAAATATTGAAGACAACAAATATGAATGAGTAGTGTTCTTCAAAACGATGATCTCCGTACGAAAGAAGATATCTGAGATGCTCACGAAAATTAGGTTGGGCCGGTCGAGAGTAATCTTCAAGTGTATCACATCTATACGGAAAAAATGTAGGAAAGATACCCAATAAAAGATTTGGATTAGAATATTCATTGGCCGGTCTGTCACCACGAGGAATTATATACACAGTATCTTGTTCAACGTTTTCCTCGATGTCTTTTTTCAGCGTTTTATCACACATTTGTACCTTTATTCATTCTAAAAGATGTTCAACAACGTCATCAGACGAAATTTTGGTACCGTTAACATGCAAGATAGCACTAAAACACAAACAATGTTAGATACAAATATCAATGCCTTTTTGCTTTACCTCGCAATTATTGGTATAGCTGTTGTAGTGTTGGACTGAGATGCATTGATCAGAGGGCTAAAACTATAAGTTGTCCTTCGTTTTCAACCGCTTCTACCTTAGCGGAAATTTCCATTGTTGCCCAGAAATACTCCGGGACATCATTCTCAAGTAATTTATTGATTGTTGATTGATTAATTGTAACATATCGATGGAGTAGACTGTTTGGGCTAAGTCATTTAAGTGCATCAGAAACCTTTGTTTTTCGAGCAGTCAAAATATTTTTTAGTTGACTTCTTTGTGGAATGCGACAACTAACAAAAATAATTTTTAGAGAATCACATAGATCATCTAATTCTAATGGCAGGGTAGTAGCTATGTTAATAACATCTTGAGGAAAGCTTATGCAGTTGCCTTTTAAAGTTGATTGAGCTGTGCTTGTCGAATGAAAAGACGAGTATAATTTCACAATGCAGCTGTTATGGTGGTAGAGAGCAATAAGTGTTTACTCAGGAATGGTTAGTCCTTGTAATTGCTGTGGCACACCTCCCATTTATACTTTATTGGCAGCTGAAAACTTGCGTCTTTTTGCTTTCAGCATGGACTACCAACATTTTGTACAAATGTCGCAGTATACCGAAGATTGTCTCTTTTTATCAAAAGTTTTATGACATCCTGTTTTATAGAGAAATATACTGTTTACCCAAGTAAATGATTGATCATCCATTGATGATTTTATATTCCTACCTATAATAAAAAAAACCTGATTAATCTTGCTAGTTTAAGTATTACAATGATTCAGCTGCTTCTCTTTCGTCTTGATCGAAAGCTAAACCAACATCGTCATTCTTGTTAAACTTATCTTTTGAATGGAACTTGCTCATTCGTTGCATAATAGAAATTATGTCATAAAGATCATTATGTACTCTAATCAAT